GGTGTGGTCGTTCATGTAGTCGTATCGTGAGTCGATTGGTGGTAAGTGAGGTTGGGTCAGTCTTGGGTTGTCTGGGGGATGGAGGTGTGTTTGATCGTTCGAAAGTGGAAGTAGAAGTCGTGTGGGCCTTGTCCAAAGTGGTGGCCAATCGTAAAACTTGGTGTTGGAGAGTGGTTGGTATGTGTTGCAATCTGAGACATTGGTGGTAAAAAGTCTGTTGGTGCTCCACGGTTGCTTTGAGCGAGGGCAACAATGTTTGGAGCTGTTGGATTCTTCCTGGTAGACGTGGGTCTGGGGTGTTGGTGTCGGATTCTGCTAGGTGTAATTGTCGAATAGTATCATGTAGTCGATTGAGTTGAAGTACCATCAGCCGGTTGATCTGGATGTTTGTATCGCGCAGTTGTGAAATGATCTGGGCATCCAAGGCAACGAGGGCTGTCCCAACAGGATCTGAATCCATCGCGATGTCGTCGTCGAGAAATCTGTACACGAAAGAAAGGCTGAGCTAAGTTGAACTAGCCGAGCTGCAAATACATCAAGGTGGAGACGAAAAAGTAATCAGGATCACCCAAAACTTGGAAACAAAAAAGTTCATCAGGTTCAACAACAGGGAGACCAATCGAAAGTGATTCGCATAGATGCAATGAAACGATGAATTAGACGGAATAACCTGGTCTGTACACAGTACTGGTGATGTGCCAGTGGTCGAGAGTTTGATGTGTGTGGCGAGTGTTCAAACAAAATGAGCTCTGCTGGCGACCGATCTTGTTTTTGCTGCTCGTGTGGAAGAAAGCTGTAATGGTGTGTTGTGGGTTGGAGTCTATTGCTCACAACTGCTGAAACGACAAGAAGCAATAAGCCAATATGTAAATATGTACGAAGTGACAATAAAATACAGTACAAAGGCATCAATAGTTCTGGATGTTCTTCAGCACCAAGAAGTGGTGGGAAGCTCTGTTTGGACGATCATAGACTGCTGTTCTGTATTCTATGTCTCTTTGTCTGTCGGAGCCGGAGGTTCTGTAGTCATCGTACTGGCATCTTTTGTGGCTGGAGGAGATGCCGCTGCTTGATGGGATGCTTTGTGTGGTGATGATGCTTCTGCTTCTGGACTGTCTGGTTGTTGAGGTGTGTAAAGAATTCGCAAGACTTGCCATCGACCTTTGCAATCAAAAGGTGTTTTGTTGAGTGCTTTTGCTATGTATTTCCAACTGGGGCGAGCTCGCTTGTTGAGTTTAAAGGCCGCAAGTTTTTCATCTTCACTGGGTTCCCATCCTCCATTGTCAGGATAGTGTGGTGAATCCGTAAGGATGTGTGCTGGTTTTGATGGTGGTACTGGTGATGCAGGTGGTACTGGTGTAGGTAGTGGTGGAATCGGTGGAACTGGTGATGTTTGTGGAGGCGAATTGGGCGAGCTGGTGAGAGAAATCGTTGTGATTGGTGGTGTAGGCTGTTTCTGGAGGTCTGTATTGTTCTTGTGTTGGTGAGTCGCTTTGGACTTGTGGTGGTGTGGTGAAAACTGATGTGGTGAAGTGGGCGTATGTGAGGGAGAAGGTTCTGGTTTGCACTCCATGAATGGTTTGCCTTTGGTGGGAGGTGGACTGCGGCTGCGTGAGAAAGACGGCTGTGGTTGCGGTGGTGGAGGAGTGCGTCTGGCTGGTCTTTGGGGAGAAGGTGGAGTGGTAGTGAGTGGGTGATGTGCATGTTGTGGTGGTTGCGGTGTAAATGGTGGAAGGTTTTGAAAAGTAGTGGCAATGGAGGTGGCTGCTTGAAGGTGTGCTAAAAGGAGTCGATGGGCAAATGCTGTGTCCAAAGGTGAAGTCATCGTCGTGATACTCGTCGTGAAGCAAATATAGCTCGGGTAGTCGTCAGGGATCGAGCTCAATATTCAAGATAATACAAAATGGCTGCGGGGCAGGATGCAAAACACAGGAAAACACAGGAAATCTTGCGACTCTCTTCGAAATGCTTGTGACTCTCTTCGAAAAGCTTAATATCAACCAGGAATGCTGACATGCTGCAAGTCTGGAAAATTGGAAAAATAGTGACCGTAAAGAAGATCATCATGTTGTCGGCATCAACCTGTACAGGAATAAGATATCGGAAGAAAAGGAAGTTGACATCGAAGTGTTAGAAAAACCAAAATCAATATCAACATCAGGCAAGCTGGCTGAGATTGTTTGAGGCTAGGTCGTCATCCAAGATACGGGGTGAAAAACGAACCTCGTGAGCTGAATAGGTTGAATTAAATGAAACTGAGCGGTGGCTTTGCATCGCTTTTCCAGGCTATCCCTTCTATTCTGGAATGTTTGGGATGGGCCACCCAGCATTTTCCTGGGGTGTATTTTACAATCCCCTCTCCTCTGAGCAGCAAGTCGTTCGCTGCGGATTCGCCACCATGAGTGACTTTCTGGCCGTGTCCATAGGCTTTGATCGTCAGAATGAGGCCGCTACGGTTCTTGGCCATGTTGGAAGCATTGAAGAGGACGCGTGCAGCTTCAGCAGCATCATGGGGCTCGTAGTTCGACAGTTCGAACGCCTGACAGTTCTCATGTAGAATGGATCGCACGATTTCTCCTGCTTCAAGTATTGAAATGATGTTGCCCTCCTCGCTAACGTGTGCCGCAAAAATGTGCTTAATAGGTGGTATGTTCAGCGCCTCTCTCCGTGTAGGAGGAAGAATCGGGGCGTCGCCCCTGCTCGCTAATGTGGGGATTGTGAGTAGTAGGAAGGAATAATGTTCTTCTTTGTTGGTGTCGTCGCTCCATTTTGTGTGGGTGAGAAGTTGTAGGTCGGTAAAGTGGGTGCTGTTGAGATGAGCTGCACTAAGTACCTTGGCTACGTAGGAGATCATGGGTTCATTTTTGACATCAAGTGCTTGTGCGTAGCGGTTGAGCCATTGGAAGACATCCAATTGTGCTGGATCAGTGGGTGGTTGGAATTTTGGAGGAGGCAAGTTGTGAGGTCGACGTTGTACTGGAACTGCAGGTGATGGTGCTGGTGGTGGTGGTGTAAGTGTCTGTTTTGTGGAATGTTTGGGGGTGAAATGTGGGTTGGGTTTGAGTGTAATGCTGGAAGTACGGTGAGTTGACTCTGGAGTGTGTTTTGCAGTGGTAGCGGTAGTGATGTTTTGTATGGAAGTGTGAGCTTTGTCTTGGGTGATTGCTGGTGATTGTGATGTTTGTCTATCTGCAGGCTTGGATTGTGGTTGAGAACTAGCCACGGATTGTGTGGCGGAGCTTCGACGTCGTGGTAGTGGAGAGCGTGTAGTGCGTAGTGAGCGAGTGCGGCTCCTGGATCTGGATGTAGCTTGTGATGGTGCAATGGAGGGAACGGCTGGAAAGGCTGAATAGCGGTGATGTTCAGGTGTGCGTGGTGGTGAGCGATCTGGGTCGCGCCAAATACCTCTTGTAGTGCTGAGTGTGGGTGCAATGGATGGTGTTGGCTTGGTAGTGCGTGGTATGTGGTGTGGTGGCGGAGGCTGTGCGGGGGTGTTGATGGATGCTAAAGCAGGTTGAGTAGCCGCTGGTGAGGTTGTTGAAGTGTAAGGTGGTGGTGGTGGAGTTGGTGTGGCCAACTGTTGTGAAGTGATTGTTGTTGGATCTGGTGGTGGTGCTTGTGGTACATCAGGTGCTTGTAGTGGTGGTGGTTGAAATGATGGTGTGGCAGGGGTTTGATTTGTCGTATGTGGTGATGGATGTAGTTGATGTGGTAGATGTGGTTGAGGAGGTAGAGATGGTGGTTGAGGTTGAGATTGAAGTGGCAATGTGAGATGTGTGTGGGCTTGGGATTGTGGTGGTTGAATTGTGAGATGGGGATGTTGTTGCGTAAGTTGGGTAGTGTCGAAAGGAGCCGTGGGTTGCACTGGAAAATGTGCCTGTAGTTGATGTGGTTGGATGTATTGAGCATGAGGTGGAGGTGTAGTGGGCAATGGATAGTGATGTGAGGTTGGGTGTTGTGGTGGAGTCGGTGGCAGTGTTGGAAAAGGTTGTGGTGAAGCCTGTGGTGGATATTGAATCCAATGGGGTTGTGTAGGTTGTGGTTGTTGATGGATGTGTGGCGGCAGAGAATAGGGCCAGGGATACGTCATGGCTGCTCGGCAAGTCAAAGACAGTGAAAATATGTATGTATGTATGAAAATAAATAGAGGTCCGTGAGGTCGAAAAAGTTGTGGAGTGTATTGACTGACCGCAATTAAACTCTGGAAACTTGAATTAAAAACTTGGAAGGTTAAAAGGATTTGAAAGGAATGGATTTCTGGGTGAAACATTTTCAGTTGACTCTGCAGTGGGATTCAGAAAGGATTTCAGTGAACTCTGCAGTAATCTTCACATGTGCGGGGTGAGACGATCCAAGCTGATTTCGAGCAGGTAAAATTCAGTCAAAGGGACTTCAGAGAAAATTCTGGAAACTTACTCCCTCGGTGAGGAGTGATCAGGTTCTTGCGGTAACGGCGCCCCGTAGGGATCACACAGCTCACCACAGTGGGAAGAAGCTGCGAAGACACACTTGAGAAGGTTGCTCCGTGGAGCGTGATTTCAGGTAGCTTCGCGGTGTGCATTAGCCCTTTATGTGAATACTTAGCCCTTGACTTGATTCAACGGAAAGAAGTGCAAAGTCCGCTCACTTGAAAGTTTCAACAAGAAGTATTAATTTAGTGTATATTAAAAATTGCAGGTACACAGTCAGACGTCTCTGACTGCTTCCCATGACATCACTAGCTTCGTTGGCCAGCGTCGTGATGCCATGCGCTGGCCCCCTGCTTCTGTACAGTGGTTGAAAAGCTCGTAGGGTAGATTAGAAAAGTACTAGAGTAGTGTCCTTGGAAACAGGAGTGGACACACACACACAAGTCGAGGTGTCAGAATTCAAGGATCTCTACTTGAGTCATCAAATCCAAAGAACAAGAACAAGTCAGATCAGGGACATGTGACATATTGAACATAGTATACTATCTAAACTACACCACGTTCCGTACCTGATGAACTGCATTCAACCGCATGGAATCCGGGCCGCGTTTCCTCACTGCAGCTTTCCTCGGTCACCAGATCCGCATGGCGGCCCGCGCCATGCGGCCGCGGGCCGCGGGCACTGCGGGCCGCGGGCACCGGCACCTAGGCAGGGCATCCCCAAGGGCGGTGTGAAGAAGATCATCCTCACGGGCAGTGGTGGCACCTTTCGAGAGATGTCCGGGCCCCCGGCCTTTCTGTTGACGTGATCGGCGTGCCCGGCCTTTCTTGGCCCGGTGGTACGCTGCGGTTCGGAAACGCTGCGCAGGCGCTTTTGAGTTCGTGAAGTCTTGCACATGATGAGACGGTACTGGTAAATATAGCTCAACTCAAACTCACACATCTCGGGTGTTTCTTCACCAGCGGGTGACTTGGTGTTGTGGTTGGTACGGCCTCTCCCGCTTTGCAGCGAGAATTCACAGGTCCTTGGAGGACATGAAGAAGGAGGATCCTGAAGTGTTCGGCAGCCCCAGACCTTCGGTGAGGAGGGCTCATTTTTGCCAATACTTCATGACACCTATGGGTTTGTATGGATTTTCCAGTCCATCGAGGTGAAGAGAGAGTTTGGACTCAGATTTTGGGGCCCCACTTTCAAGTTGTGTCCCTTTGGATCTTCTGGGGGGACTCCTTTGAAGTATCTTGCATGAGCTCAACATGCAAAAAAGAGCCCATGGAGTCCATGGAGGTGCGACCAAGGGTTTCTTGTTCTTGGAAGATGCCATCAGATCTGCATTGTGACAGAAGTTGGCGCTTATGGTCTCCGGCTGAAGGCGGAGGCAGATGATGCCAATCCAGGAGTCGGCAGACAAATCTGACCACAAGGAGTTTCCACATTCAGAAGAATGAATCCTCACAGCCTTGTCTGTGGCGGTGGGTGGGAATAGATTTGATCAATGCCCAGAGGGTGGAAGGTGTCAAGTTGCTGTCTTCAACATCCAAGAGTTATCTCTTGAAGATTCCCTCAGCCAGAGCTTGGACAGCGGCACTTGGCCAAATTGGGACTTGGAATTATCAAAAGACTTGGGGTGGGTGAATTTCCCAAGCGTCTCCAATGCCTAACCCATTGACATGTTCCATGTTCCTCACAAAAACGAAGACTTCCAATGCGTGTCAATCATCGAGACAACCCCAACACTCTCGTATGCTGAACCATGGGCGTTTTTGTCGGGGAGTGCTACTCAGCATTAGACTCTCGACCAGTTCTCTGGGTCACCTGGATCCATCAGTGGATCTCCTTGGACCTTTCCGTTGATCTCCTGGGACTCTTCAAATTCCAGAGCCGTCTCGAAGTCACCTTCCACAGTCTGAAACGCTTCCTTGACCCATCCTTCAGAGGGTGTTTCCTGGCCAGAATCCTGTGGTTTGGAGAGTCCAACTCTTTGGGCGTTCAGGGAACCCACGTCATCCATGCAGCGAACTGGAGGGCCGATTTTCGTGTTTTCGAAGCATCATTTCACTTGTTGTGGTCGAACAAACACGTCTTATTTTGTTAATTTGTATTATATATACTTTCTAAACACATGGGTCCCTTTTATTTGGCAGGCATCCATTGAACATGGGCGGTTCGATGCAGACCATGCAGACCACGCAGACAACTCCCACTTCCAACCTTCTGGCGAGCTGCCACGCGAAAATCACCGTGTGTAGCCAGTTCGCTCAGTGTAGTACCATCGTAATACATCAACAACTGATCCAGCTTTTGAGCATGAAACACCGTGCAAACACCCGCCGCTCGTTCCAAAGCAGCAGGGAACCAGCGGCTCCGTGGTGTTCCCGTCGCTCCGCTCACCGACCCTCTGGAGCCGACGAGTCCAGTGGAGTTCGGCCCGCCGTCTCTCCACCGACTCTCCGGTCGCCACCGAGGCTCCGGAAGCGTTCCACAACACACCCCAATTGGGACATGGGCGTCCGGGCGCCGAATGGACGCCCGGGAAGGCGATGGGTCTGGACAACGTGGACACGGTGAAGGGAGAAGGGACGAATTTGAGCCTGAGTGCATGAGCTGGGTGAGAGATGGGTGAGATGGGTGGAATCAAACATAATCAAACCCACCTTTTGTGGAGCTTCAAAGCCGGGTTTTACGGAGATTTTGTCCTTTTCCCTTGGGGCAACTCCCCTGTGGAGGAAGATATATTCTTTTTTTCAGGGTTGCTTCAGCCGATTCTTCTCCAGATAGCGTAGCTATGGGGTTCTTACTTCAAATAACAATGAGTTGCCCGTGCACGCTTTCGAGACAGGTTGCTGGTGCTGGTGCTGTGAGCTGGCTGTGCACGTGGTGGAAACAGGTTGCTGGTGCCGGTGCTGGGTGCCGGTGCTGGTGCTGTGAGCTGGCTGTGCACACGGTGGAGACAGGTTGCTGGTGCCGGTGCTGGTGCTGGGTGCCGGTGCTGGTGCTTTGAGCTGGCTGTGCACGTGGTGGAGACAGGTTGCTGGTGCTGGTGCTGGGTGCCGGGTGCCGGTGCTGGTGCTGTGAGCTGGCTGTGCGCGTGGTGGAGACAGGTTGCTGGTGCTGGTGCTGGGCGCCGGGTGCTGTGAGCTGGCTCTGCACGTGGTGGAGACAGGTTGCTGGTGCTGGTGGTGAGTGCCGGGTGCCGCCGCTGGTGCTGGTGCTGTAGTGAGCTGGCTGTGCACGTGGTGGAGACAGGTTGCTGGTGCCGGTGCTGGTGCTGGGTGCCGGGTGCGGGGTGCCGGTGCTGGTGCTGAGTTGGCCGTGCACATGGTGGAGATAGGTTGCTGCTGCTGGTGCCGGTGCTGGTGCTGTGAGCAGGCTGCGCATGTGGTGGAGACAGGTTGCTCGCGCTGGTGCCGGTGCTGGTGCTCGTGCAGTGAGCTGGCTGTGAGACAGGTTGCTGGTGCTGGTGGTGTAGCTTGCATATGTAGGGGGGTCTATTTTCGGATCTTCTTCCCAGATAACGATGCTATGGCTTCTTACTTCAACTGACAACAATGAGCTGCCTGCGCACGCTTTCGAGACAGGCAGCCGGTGCTGGTGCTGATGCTGTGAGCTGGCTGTGCACGCGGTGGAGGCAGGGTGCCTGGGTGCCGGTGCTGGTGGTGGGTGCTGGCTGTGCGCGTGGTGGAGACAGTGTGCCGGGCGCCGGCGCCGGGTGCCGGTATTGGGTGCTGGCTGTGCGCCTGCTCCCCAGATAGCGACAGCTGTGCGATGATAATGAGCTGGCTGCACGCGCTTTCGAGACAGTGCTGGGTGCCGGTGCCAGGCGCTGGTGCTTGGCTATGGTGCCGGTACTGGGTGCTGTGAGATGGCTGTGCGCGTGGTGGGGACACGGTGCCGGTGCTGGGTGCTGGCAGTGCGCGTGGTAGAGACAGCGGGCGCCGGCGCCGGAGCTGTGAGCTGGCAGCGCGTGGTGGAGACTGGGCGCCGGTGTTGGGTGCTGGCTGTGCGTGGTGGAGACTGGTGCTGGTTATACCGGTGCTGGGTGCTGGTGCTGGGTGCCGTGAGCTGGGGTGCTGGTGCTCGGTGCTGGTGCCCGCTTCTGACAGTGAAGTGATAACAACCGCCGCTTCTGACAGTGAAGGGTAACAAACCGCCGCTTGCAGCAGTGAAGGGCGACCAAGCGCCGCTTCTGACAATGAAGTGCCAGCAGTCATGGGCCGCATGAACTTATGCGCGCAACATCATACGGTGTTGTCGCTTGAGCGTTCTTTGTCTGTTAGCGCGCTGTGGGGTATTTACACTCTTCAGGTTCTGTTTTGGCCGACAGCTGTGTCAAGGGCTGTACTGTTTGCGCACTTTTGCACGTATAATGTTCTATGCGCAACGTCAGGCTCTCAACCGACCATTGTTTCAGCATGCTACACACACGATAGTCGTGCTGGATGCTGCTTGGCCTTGGGCGAGTGAAGTCTACGGGCTTTGCCGTTTGTGCGCGCACTTTTGTGCGCATAAGCTTATCCGCGCAAGATCATACGGCCTTATCGTTCTGCAGATCGTTGCTTCAAGCGTGCTACAAAGTCAACAGTGGCGCTGGCTACTGCTTGGCCTTGGGCCAATGACACTTACGGGCTTTGCTGTTTGCGCGCACACTTTTGTGCGCATAAACTTATACGCGCAAAGATCATACGTTGTTATTCCCCAAGTAGGGATAGCTATGGGTTTTTGCTGCAAATAAGAATGAGCTGGCTGCGCGCGCTTTCGAAATCGGTGCTGGTGCTGGTGTTGTGGTCCTGGGTGCTGGTGCTGTGAGCTGGCTGAGCGCGCGTTTGAGACGGGCGGCGGCGTTGGTCGGCCGCTGGCGCCGCTGCCGGTGTTGTCAGCTGGCAAAGCGCACCGGTGCTGGTGTCAGCTGATTGTGTGCGCTGTGGAGGTGCGGCAAGCTAGCTGTGCAGGCTGCGTACATTCTTGTTCCAGCCAGTCGCATGTCAACAGGTCGTGGGATTCTGCCTAGCTATCTGGGTCTATGCTGGTGTAATTATGTTTTCTCGGTTCCTGGTTGAGCAAATGCAAGGAAACCCCAGAAAATTCGCAGGCTTGGAAGACAGGTCCCAACCTCGCTTGTCTTGGCTTTGGGTCAAGATGCACGCCGCGCAGCGCAGCGCAGCGCAGAGAAAGACCGCTCATCGAACTCGTCACTTCAACGGAACCAGCGGCCTGCAGCGCTTGGTCTCACCGTCGCAGGTCTCGAGAGGTCCGCCTGAGAGGTCCGGCGCAGGTCGGTGAAGAGGAGAGACATCGATCTGAAGCACTGAACAGCAGGACCTTCCGAAAAAAGCTCGCCCGGTGGTTTTTGGACCACCCGAATCACCTCTAAGAGGCAATTTATGGACACCCTCCTGGTAGGTCCGGGTAGGGAGATGGATCTGGGTTTTTTCCGGGCCAAGAGCTCTAATCCGTGCCTGCTCAGTTCCCCTCCTCAACTCTTTTCTGCTAGCCAGTCTTCTACATAGGGCCGCTGCCGAGGCCAAGATTACCGTCGATTCGTTGGGGAGCTCAGACAGCATAGAGAACCCCAACACGACATTTCGAAAGCGATGAAATGGGTAGCAAGATTTAGCAAGTGCATATGTCATGTGATGTCATGTGTGATTTTTTTTGTGTAGCATGTTCTTGTTTAGGTGACAAATTGGGATCCAACAAGTATAGGACATATCGGCATGACATATATAGCTCAAGATTTGCGAGTCCTATTTAAGACCTAGCCAGGTGGCGGGCTCCTGAATGACATCCCAAGAAGAGAAGAGCTTAAAACCGGTCAAGAACAAGCATGGCCATGGGGCCAACCCCCCACGATAGATGGGTGCGACCAGATACTGAAGTCAACTTCAAGCTCAGAAGTCGCTGATTCCGCCGGGGGAGGTGCAGGGCGACCTAACAGGTATGGAGAAACACATTAGAAAGACATGGATGTCCTCTAAAAGGGGCTGATCAGCACATGTTATCACCTTTCACACACTGGACTCTGAGTTGAGCAGCAGGATCGATCCACGTCCAAGGTCCACCATGATGAACAAAGGCTTGGAGGTCATCGAGGCGTCAGGGCCCTAGCTTTGGCAGACCCGCCGGTCAGCGGAGCTGGTGGAGTGGGGACATCCCGGCCTTCCGACCGTTTTCCGCCTTCCTCACGATCAGAACGAGATCTCGTTCGGACCTTCTGAGCGTTTCGGACCTCCCAGGCCCTTTGAATGCTTCCGTTTTCAGTGGCGACCCCACCAAGTGAGATGATCGAGCTTCCATGAGTCGAAGGTGACCGCAAACTACGTCCGTCCAACGGTCGCCTTCTTGTTGTACCTGACCTAAGGCACTGGCTCTATGGTGTAGACTACGATGACATCGAGGTGGTGCTGGGACCCCAAGCGACCAAGGGCGACCTTGGGAGTCGCTGAGGAGTGAAGTGTGAGTTTTTCACGGACGCTACGAGCGTCACAAAGGGCATCGCCATGAACGGAGCGATCGGACGCTACGAACGTCTTCACCGGTGTTTTTTGGTGTCCTTTTGAGACATAGCCGCTAGATGGAGATGCTCATGTCGTTCCCAATGGCGCTTTGTGTTTCACTGAGGATCCACCCGCAGTCCATTGTGCACAGTGCGGTGGAGTGCCAGGCGGAACAAAAGCATCTTTGTGGCAAAGACATCTTGGATGGGAAGAGAATAGAAGATACCTCTCGGGACTTGCACACACACTTAACTTGTATTTGTGTGAAAAGATATGAAAACGCATCTTTTTGGGATTCCGATTTTCGTACTTGGACGGCTGTTGGTTTGGCATTTTGTGTGGTGCAAAGGATGATGCAGATGGCCAAGTCTTTCTTTTGGACGCTCGGCCTACGGGGTACATCTGAAAAAGAAGAGAAACAAAGCCTGTGGACCCACAGCCGGATTGTGGGGTTCCCCAGTCAGAGAGAATCCCAATTGATATTCTGAAAAAATGGACCATAACCCCTGCTAACGCCTCTCCAGGAGTCTACAGGGTAATTACACTGCCTGGAAGAATTAAAATTGTCCCTTGGAAGACAACTTTCCTCTACAAACAAGGGGTTGTCCACTTCCATGTTGGTTCCAGGGAGAGTATACCTTTCACTTGATCTTCAGAAAAGTGACCCTAATCTGCAGTTCTCCATGTCAAGCTCGGGTGGAGAAGGGCTGGTCACTGGTCTGCCAGTTATGCATGGTCACACCACCCGGGGGTCCTTTGAACAGATTTGCGATGGAGCGAGGTCACCGGGCCGGGAATCATTTCTTTTTTTCGAAGATCAAAATCAACCCCCTTTGCTAGGCCTCCAGACGTGGATTGTCGCGATGTCGATTGTAGCCTCCAGACAGGTCCCTCCAAATCGATTGTAGCGCCACGAGAATGAGCGAAACCAACAAACAAATAGAATTTCCTTTGCCAAGCCAACAAAGCGCGTCTGAAGGCTATGGCATGGGGTGGCCAGGCCACATGCCACATGCCAAGCTCCTTCCAGCCTGGGGCCTGCGCAGGACACCGCCATTCTGATGCAGACCGGTTGGCCAGACATGCGCCTTCCCATCCTCTATGCGCTGTCGCACCCCTCCCGTGTCCGGGTGGCCTGGAGGGAGGTGATTGAATCGATGGTGAACAACCCAAAGTGACCTGCTGTGAAGCTGGAGGTGACCAGAAAGGTCCAACGTGGTTGCGTCCAAAGGCGGGCATGTTTATAGGTGATCTATTTTCCCTTCTTGCAGGGGGTCTTTTGGGAGGTCTCCCTATTTCAGTAGACAAATGAACCAAAAATGCATGGATGGATGGAGGGTTCAGTGGAGCCTTGGCCCTTGGCATACTGAGTACTCCGACCCCTTTCAGGCTTTCAACTGGTGGAGTGTGTGCCTTCTCCCCAGGTGCCGGCAGACCTGCCGAACCCCCGCGACGGGCGGAACTTCGACGACTGGTGGATCGGCGACTCGGATGAGATGATCGGTTGGATCGAGAGGATCGGTGGGCGAAAGGAAGCCATTTTTGGAAGGTACACACTGTCGGCCTTTTGTGGCTTTGTGATGTTTGTTATGTTTGTTCATGCTTGTGCTAGATTCTGTCAACTTGAGAACAAGCCTCCTGTTGTTTTTCAAGAATGTGGGAGAATGACCATCAACGATGAAAGCTTCCTGGCCGGTCTGGAAGCGAAGGGCTAAGCACTGGAAGCAGTTCACCTATGCTACGTGGGCCTCCATATGCTTGGACCGTCAGTCGTACATAAGTCGTCTTTTTGTGGAAATCATTTGATCGTGGCCATGGAATCACAGCTGTTCAGAGATTGTAGGCCCATGCATGGTCATATTCACTTCCATTCGTCTCACTGTGAAGTCACAAGCCACCTCAATGAGCGCCACGAAAGTACCACATGCTTCCTCATCTGAATCAGCTTCCTCCTTCCATCCTCCTCCCATCCCCCTCCGGTGCCGCGCAAAGACCGGACGAATTACAGTAAATAGTTCAACCCGGCAACCGGGCAACCCGCGATGGATCGAGGTGATGGCAAAGATGGGAAGCTGACCTTCGGCACCTTCGGCTGAGCGGCGTTTTGGGGGCTGAGCGCGTGGAAACCGGGCGGAGTGGGTGGGAATCCTCGTGCTCAGATGGCTACACCTGGGGGAGAGTCCAGGCTTCGCCAGCTCTGCGTGTTTTCTTGTTTGGATGCCAGCTACTCTGAATAATGAAACGTGAATGGGGATCTGTACAGATCCGTTTGAGCCTGGTCGTTTGAGTTTGAGCCACATCCGGTGACCGTTTTGAGCCTGGTCGAAACGTTGTGCTCATTGGCTCAGCTGAATACATGAACGCAAGAAATGGACGTTTTTTATTCACATTTTCCAGCAGTTCGCTGGAGGACATTTGAAGCTCCTGGAGTTCAATGGGTGCTTGTAGCATTCCATCGATCCAAACACACCTACCAAAGCCTGTGATGCGAACATATGAAGCTCCGTCCTGAATGCAGTGAGTCGACATGTGAGGCGAAATCATGGCACCACGAGTGAGTCGAAATGTCAGTGAATTTCTGGCCAAGCACAGACCTTGGCAACATAGAAGGCAACACGAGTCCAAGTATAGATATTACTTTGGGCCACTTAGAAGGCATAGATATATTTTTGGGGCCACATTTTTGAGATCACACCGTCACACCAAATCAACACGAGAATCCAGGTGGTTTCGGCGGGCCAATGTTCGGCAATCCCCTCGCACCTCATTCATTACCACGAGAAGGTGTATCACCATATGAGCCTGGTTCCCGGGCAGCATTATTTGGTGGGCCACCCTGTCTCATGTGCGGCCCAGGAAAGCCCGATCTCGAGAAGTATCCTTGCATCCGCTTGGGCCCCTGGATGTTGGTTCGGCATGGCCTTAGAACCAAGCAGGTTGTTCCCATCATCAGTTCTGGAATGCATTTTGAACACTACTTGGCAAGTAAGAGAGGAATTCTTAGTAACAGGTTGTTTCCCCCTACCTACCAGTCTTCTCAGAATTCTTTTCATTTAGGAGACTGCTATGGGCCTAGGGCCTGCAAGTATCCAGACAGGGGCCCCAAGTCAATACCTGGAGTTCAGCATCTCTCCACCTTGTTGGTTGTTCTCCAAGTTGCTGGTTGGTCTCCACTGGCAAGTCTTTACCATCATTCTTGCCTGAATCTGGGCCCTGATTTGCTTGAAGTCCTATCTCACAGTCCTGAATTTCCTTTGGGATCCCTGCTTTCATTCTTTTACCTTTGCCGAATCCACTCATCCACTCCTCGCGCGGCACGGTCCGCAGGACTGGCCTACCGTGCTGGGCGGATTGGAGGGACAATGCCGGCCATCCTCTCGGCGGCCAACGAGCAGGCAGTAGAGCTCCTCCTCACCAAGGCGCGAGCGTCGCTCGTGTCACTCCGTTGTTTGTGATCGCTTTCGGAAGATCGAGGTTTCGGTGGACATCACTCCGAACGGAGGCCAGGCTAGGAGGCGAACGAAGTCCCATTCTGGGAAGGTGAAGGTGTTGTGTGTGGGTGTTTTTTGAAGAGATATACAGTAGCTGTACAGTAGCTATAGCATACTATACAAAAATATGATATAACAACATTAACAAACAAATAAGTACAACAACTATATATATATATATTATATATAACTATATATCAATATATCAATATATCAATCAATCGATCGATCGATCAATCAATCAATCACTCAGCCAGCCAGCCAACCAACGAAACAACTACTACCTTTGGGGTCGCGACATGATGGGTTTGGTAACTCTTCTGACCACCTCCTTGGTAAGGTCTACACAGCACACAGCCACTCTGCAGATTGCTGGCTTAAGCAACCCGCGGACACAGAGGGACTAGTGGATTTCTAGTGTGACGCCCTCTAGCTGTGTAGACACCCTGCACCATGATAGCAGCAAACAGATCGAAGTGCAAGCAGGACATCTACAGTAAATGCAATGGAACATCAAGAGCAAAGTCTGGAGGTTTCACCGATTCCAAGTGTCCGACATGCTCTGATGCGGAAGATTGTTGATTGTTTTGAACATGAAGAACACGTATTTTTAACATGTTCTTTTGTCCCTGCGGTGTGGGTCTTGATCCACACCCAGTGGACAACAGAAAGGCTCGAGCGGAGCTTCATGGAGCTTCCGCAGAACAAAACTCGCAGATCTGGATGGGTGAAATCCTTCCACCGCCACCATCCCCATTGGCACACCTCTGTTCTCCTGAGTCATCCCCTTTCCTTTTTTAGGGCTCTGCATTCTGGGGCACCACCTGACTTCAGGGATTGCACTCAGCTCCATGGCCCCCTTGCACTTCCGCCATGGCCATGCAGAGGACCAAGGTGGCGCACGACGAGCGCGCTCCTCCCGTCCTGCGCGCGACGAAGATCGCGCGGAACGGCGACTTCGGCGACTCTGGCGACGAAAACCGCACCGAGCGCCATGCGAAACGCCCGCGCGGCGGGATCGCCGGGGGTTCCAGCGTGGTGCTGGGGCACAGTGGATGCAGACCATGTCGCGCTTCAGTGGCCTTGGGCGCAGTCGTTGCAGCCTGGAGGACATTCAGAGGTTGATGTTGCCACAGCTTGACCACACAGTTGGATCAGATTAGAAGCTTGTTGGAGCCAGTGTTCTTCCCAAATGATCCCGAATGTCGGTAAATCGAAACATATTGGAACTCTGTCTTGCAGTTCCTATTCTTGGAAGCTCACAGAAGGCCTCTGAAGGCAAAACAGAGCTCTGTGTCCATTGCTTTGAGGCCGCCTCGGGTTGGTTGCTGGCCACTCTGCTGCCTTTTGCTGCCACGCCCCACGTGACGTATCGACAGAAGCCGGAGAAGCGGCTCTTGGTGTTTCACATCATCGAGCAGCTCCTCGCAGCGGCGCTGGGTGTTTTTCTGTTTGTGATGTCGGTGTTTCTAATGTGACCAATGTGACCAACCTGAAGGTTTTTTTGGGACGAACTGGCATGGATTTCGCTAGAGAAAGAACTGGTGGAAGAAGGTTGCCCATCATTCTTTGGAGAAACTGAGGGGGTGAGTGGTGGTCCCTGATGAGTACTAGTGTCGAAGTGGGATGGAAGAGTTTCCAGCTACTGTTGATAGACCAAAAAAGGACAGTGTTGTCCGTGTTTTTACAATCCTCGGACTCGGATGGGTTACGGGTTTTATCACCGTGTCCGACGGTTGTTGCGCACTCATCACCGAGAGAATGTGAATCCTTTGAGTTACGCCATCACGGAGTGTCCTTTTACACTAAAAGCCTGATCCAAAACGCTGCATTCAATGACTTGAACCTTAACCGTACTATCTATGACGTGAAGGAACCTTCTCGGATCATTCTCACTGACAGCCTTTTCCCCGTGCCTGTCTTACTCCGGGCTTCCCGAAGTTGCTCGCTGTCTTCCAGGTTTGGTGGAGCCTCGAAAAGCTTGATGCAGTTCTTAAACCTGGCGCAGCGCTTGGAGCGCCGCCCGGTCTTGCCCGGGATCCTGGCCAAGCATCCCTATGACAACACCGTGTATCGCTCAGCGAACACGAAATCCGTGCAGGACTTGGAGGAGTTCTTGGAGCTGTTCCTTGGAGTGGTACGGCGGCCGTACCTTTTTAGCCCAAGGAATTTCTGGTGGATGGCCTACCTACGAAGCTCAACCCGGTTATGTTCTACTCATGACAACAAAACCAGCTGTTGGATGGACTTGAAATGCGATTGGACAGGGCAGATGGCACATGATCCCCCCGCGGTGGTTTGCATACACTCCTAGAACCATCTCACCAAGGGTTGCCAAACAATTGACATAATATCATGCATATGTTTTTGTAGGTGCTTGGAAAATGTATAAACATGCGGACAGCATATTGCGTATAAGGACAAAATTGAAAGGCATGGTATTCAACACCTTCTATTAAAACACACCATAGGTCCAGGTCAATGCCAGGATTCTGCTGCTTTAGTCTGTTTGAATCTTTTCAAACCCCAGGAGCACGCTTTTTTAACCCAAAGACCTTCTGTTGTAACACTCGGACAATTTCTTTTTAAACTCATGAACCTTCTTTTCTAACCCTACAAGACTACAGACTCCTTCATAAAGCCGGCAACTGACGTATATATAATATACTGTGCATGTTGCACATACACATCTACATAATTACTTCGATTTGCACCGAATTCGTCGATCGATGGCCATGAGCTTCCGCGCCGTGGCCAGGAAGGCTTGCAGAGTGGTTACAAGTCGTGTTTCAGAAGATGATTTAGGAATGGACGTGCTTCCAAACAACCAAACGTATTCCAACACAGATAGCAGACCTTCTCGTAGAACAGGTTTTGCAGGATGCACAGGAACCCATTGAAAGTATCTGAAAGTGTTTCCACACAACCAAGCACAATTAGAACACAGACAGCAGACCTTCTTCGATCCAGTTTTTGCAGGGGACAGGACACCACACGAAACCACGTCCACGTCCACGTCTGTTGCGGTCACAGGGTGTCAACACGGCCCTCGTGAACATGAAAGACTTCCAGCTTCTGTTTGTTTTGGCGACATTCCTGAGGGCCAGCGGAAATTTGTCCGTCCGGGCTGACTCCCACAGAAAGTGGCCCCAATGTTCAAGTCTGTACTGAACATTCTTATTTTGGACTTGGTGTTTCAAGATACATATTATCATATATACATGTTCTACTGTATATATATATATTCTTTTAAAGTCATGCTTCTTTGTACACATATATATATATAGAAAGTCATGCTTCTTTGTACATATATATATATATACGCATATATATATACATACATACATACATACATACATATCATAGATCGCCGTATGCTAAGCAGAGAACACCATATGCGGAAGCAGAACCTGAAAACTGACAGGATCACCTGAACCGTTTCGATTTTGGCACTAAATGAGAACACACGGAAGAAGCAAACAGAACATGGTGTTCACCACCCTTCTCGACTGGATGGGTTAGTCATCACCCCTTGAGTCATTGAGGCCACCGCCTTGAGGCCACTTGCCCATCGCCAGGTCTAGTCTAAGCTCCGGCTTGATGCAGCCCATCGGCTTCCGCGAGCACCTGGCGGAGATGGGGAACCTGGTCGATGCGATCCTGGTGACGGTGATGGATCCCTTGCACCGGGGTCCAGCCTTCAATCCTTTGAACACGGAAGGGCCCATTATGGACACTTAGACTCTGAGTCAGGGCCCATGGGAGAGAAAAACATGGACATACTTGGAGCAGTAATTATAGAGCGAACGGTGCGTAAAAGAAGAAAGGTGAGGTCGTTGCTACAAAGATCTTGGGTGGATTGTTGTTTGTTTCTCTTTTCAGAGTTTGGGTGTTGGTTTTGCTGGTACCCCGCTCACGAAGTGAGGTAAAGTTCTATGTATATATATATGTATACAGTGTGATCATCATAAGTTTAGAGGAGGCTTTTTTTGATGGAGGTGAGCTTGGTGGAGATAGGTTTAGAGACTAAATTGATGGACACCCTGTACTTTTTTTGATAGGGTGAACTTTGACACAAGAGTGACATCACTCAGAGAACTTGATGTTGCACGCAACATCCAACGGATGCTCCGTTAATGCGTCTCTCTACAAACTCTGACAGCCTCATGACTCGTCGTTCACGCACCGATCCCCACGTCGTTCACGCGGATGTGAAGTTCAGAAGGCACACCTACAATCTGTGCTTTCTTGCCGCCCAACCACGCCCCCACGCAGAGGGACCCGCCGCGCCGTCGGGTCGTTGGAACAGCGACACAGCGTTTTTACATTCCTTCGATAGCGTTTACTACGCGCGACCGAGCGTAGTGCACTGCGCCGAGCAGTGCACGACTGATGAACATCGCTGAGAGACCATCTCTAAACCCATGGCGGAAGCCTCGGCCTCGGCCTTGAAGTGCCTGCAACGAAAAGATGGGAGTGAGAAGAGTTGACTGAGCCTTCAACGGGGACGTTCCCGCAGCAAGAGAGAACTCTTTGGATCGGTTTATCTGATCCTTTCAGTGACATGTTGCAGCTACCTGGTAGAGGGTATATCATTTTGCTAGAGGTCATTAGTGGTTACTCTAAAGACTCTACAAGGTCTTCATTGTGAGACCGCACCATGTGAGGCGCATGCCACGTTCGGCCGTTCTTTGTCGTTTGTCCTTTTTTCCGCTATTGTTTGTGTGTATGTTTAGCGCGAAAATGTGGTCTGTCAGGAGTGCCAGTGGTTGTTGAAGAAATGCACAAAGAAGCCGCTGAAGTGTGGGGAAAGCTTCATGTGGAGGTGGGAAAGCTTCGCATGGCATGTTCGTTCGTCCATCGCTGTGGCGTGATTCCACCGGTGGGGCTCTTTCGGCTCCTTACACAGTGATGGACATGCATTCTGATTTGGTGAACTAACACCTCCTACTGGACAGAGAATCCAGTTTGTCGCGGAGAATCCAGTTTGTGGCGTGGTAGGTGTCATTGTAAGAACGAGACGTCTCTAGCACTGTGAGGTGTGGGATTTCTGTGCAAGTTGGTTTCTGTTTCGGCAGGTGATCATTGTTTTAGCACCTCAAGCATGAGATATGGTTGGATTCTTCATTAGCACTGAGCACCTTGATTTAATGCGACCTCAACCTGGTATTGTTGAAACATGTTTTGACCAAACCTACTGACCCACTGACCGAAGCAACATGAAGCCACTGTCTCCTAGCTCGGGGCTTCGGATTCGCGAACAGCACCTGGCTGTCTTGCTTTGTCCCCAACGACTCGCGTGTCTTCGAACTGTACCGCGCGTATCGCGCGAACGAGTGGACGAGCTCCGGGAAAGGTTGGACCTCCGTGGCTTTGATAGTTGGCAGCTGCGGAAAAATGCCAAGATCTGGTGCATCCACAACAATGTTCCTTGGATTCCCCATAAGGGGTGGTCGGTGGGCGTTTTTGAGGACCAAAGCACTGGTTTGGGATGCTCCGGGGGGCCGGGGGGACCGGGGAACCAGCTTCCGTGTCCGACGGACACAGCCTCATGGAACCAGGGCACCATGCAGTGATGCAGACTCTTGACTAACAAAACCCCCCCATTCGGATTGCAATACTTCTTCTACCACCCCGCCGGCCCGAACAAGAACATGAATTCCCGGACGAGACAGGCCCCCACGATAAACACGCACAGGTCGCATGAGCGGCCACAAAAAGACAACGTGAGTTAAAAGGAACCTCCCCAAGGAACCTCGCGCCGGGGGAACCTCCCCACGGAACTCGAGCTGCAACCTGAGGAGTTCCCTGGTACCGGCCACGAGGAGTTCCCCTGAAACCGGCCACCAGCGTTTCAGCCCGGTCGACTCCTGGCCCCCGAACACGGTGTTCACCGTCTCGGACGGTGCGCAAGAACGATGTTCAGCGTTGTGAAGCGTTGGCAGGTCCACTTGTGGAAGAAGGAGTTGGGACCGCTTCTGCAGAAGCAGTTCTCATGGGCCCGACATCTGCTGTTGCTGATGCTTGGAGAATCACTGCATGAAGTAGGGACGCTACTATAGTAGCTATTGGCTATTTGCTACTAGTAAGGCCAGGAGCTACTAGTAGCGTCCTTGCTCCTAGTAGCGATGCCCTTTGTTACTATATAATAGCTATTGGCCACTCCCCCCAAAATCATCCCAAGATCGTCCCAAAGGCTCGGAGCTTCGTCCAGTCTTTGAAACGTCAGGACTTGGTAGTTGGATGCGGTTTTTGAAACGTCCAGAACTCGGAGACACCAACGGACGGTGTCCTGTCGACGTTTCAAGTCGTGTAGGATGAGACCAACGAACGGTACGAGTTCTGTTCGTTCCAGTTTCGACGGTGCCGTGTGAAACCTCTGGCATTTCAAGAGGGACACCTCTGTTGATCTCAATTCCACGTGGCGCACCACGTGGCGCACCACAGCACAGACCACAGGCCAACCACCCCAGGTGACCATTGTGACCTTTCTCTAGAGCAGTCTTTCTCCTTTCGGGTCAACACCGAGATGAACACCCAGTCAGCACCATGTGTTTTGCTTTAGCTGCCCAACAGAACAACCCAGAACACCACAGGCTGTGGTCGAGGTTGTTAACATGGGTTGCGCCCCATTCTTAGCCGACCAGGTAGCAACTTGGGGTTCCTGTTTGAGTCACATCCTGAACCACTCATCCCCTCCAAAAGTGACCCATGGCCTCCCATGGCGCAGTGGGCGCGCCATGGGCGCGCCATGGGAAGAACCTCTGCGCTGAGGAATTGGGTCGGTGTCACGCAGGCGCCCTGCAATAGCCCCAATCGCATTTGCTCCTCCAAGCTCGACACACATGGAACCATGAGCGCGCTGGAGCACCACCTGAAACGCTGGCGCTTGAGCAGCAATGTCCAAAACTTGGCTGAGGTGGGAGTGGGGTTTGGGCTGGCCGAATGGGCTGGCCGAGTTCGGCCTCCGAGCGGCGGGAGTGAGTTAGCTTGGAGTCTGAGACCGCTGGCGGTTGTCCTGATTGAAGGGTATCAACCACCAGAGCAGATAGGAGATTGTCTGAGGTGAAGCTTGTGGAAGAGCACTCTTCAGATGCAAGATGGGATGGTTGGAGGATCTCCCAGGCAGAAGGCCTAAGGCCTAAGGCCTCATGTTTCTTGATCGGTCACCGCCACTTGTTCATCAGGGGTATCTGAGTAGATGGAGTGATTTCTGGGGTGATCTTCCGAGTAGACCCATGGTCAGTCGCACAAGATGGTCATGCCGCTCTTGTACATCAAGCCTCTGACACTCCCTGAAACGGAAGTGTAACATTGGCGTCTGGAAACGATGAAATCCTAATACCAAGCACGTCGTCTGCTCAAGCTCCTGTCTGATGGTACACACACACACACATGTATATAGTCTTGACCAACTCGCTGCCCATGTTGTTTGTTTCATTTTGTTTCCAAGAAGAACAACGTTTGATCTCCTGCCCCAGGACTTCTTGGTGAGGCATCCTGAGCTGGGGTGGACCTACAATGCGGTCCAGTTGCGCGCCGAGATGGTGCTGAACTATCGCTACCTCAGTCCCACATGCAACGATACTGGAGTCTATCAATGGTTTCAGACCTTGAGGTCTCAAATTAGCACATGGAATGGCACATGGTTCCGTGCCAAAGATCTCAAGAAAGGTGGCTCCAGGACCTTGAAAAGATACGACAACGAGAGCATGCAGCGTCTGGTGGAGCTGGAGAGAGATCTGTGGCGTGACTCGCCTGTCACCTTCATTGAGAATGAATGTGAAGGAGCGACTGGGCAGTTGGGGTTGGGAAGAATGTCTTCCACGTGTTTTCGCCATGTGTCTTCCATGTAAGCAAAGGAGATGACTGATATGACCAACCAGGCCAGGTCTGGAAGTTTCTTTTACCCCATGCAGCAAGCAGGACTGCCCGACGTCATGTGCTTGCTCGTAGATGTGGCCCTCCTCTCCCGCGCCGAGCGCCTCTACTTGTGGGGCTCCTCTGGCGGGGTGGATCTCTGGTGTCGCATTGAGCGGGAGCGCCTGAATTTGCCAAGCCGCCATGTCTTCCGCAGCATGCTAGCGCCACAGGGCTGCTAGGCGACTGGCTGACTGGTGCGAAGTTCAGTGCCATCAGGGTCCAGAAAAGGCGTTGCTGTTCATGGCAGGGGCTGTGGAGTTAGTCACGAGTCAGTGGTGAATACCAACAAACTAGACAATCGTTTCATGTTGCAAAGAGGTTGCCATGCAAGGGTTCCCGAATCTGTTCAGACCATCGACCTATCTAGAATTTCTCTCCTTGTGGATGTCAGCCATTTTTGAGCCGAAAAACATCGATTCCAATCGCTGGTCCACCAGTTTTACGTTTCTATTTTTGTTTTCTCCGTCTTGACCTTTGCAGGGCTCTCTTCAGAGCTGACCATTTTGTTGCGAACAGGAGATTTGGCAGGCTCCTCCGAAAAAGACCCAAAAGCCACACATCCCAGGTTGCCTCAAGAGCCCACCTGGTGCGGATTTCCTTCTGTTCTGCGCCAGTGAGGATCATAGATCACCTTCATTTCGGAAGACATCAGTTTACTCCGAGATGTACCTGGGCCCTAAGTTCATTGCAGGGAACATCTAGGGTACCCAATCGCCCAAAATACCACCTCCTAGATGAAAATGACCAGCCCAACGGTCCAGCCTTTGCCTTATGTTATATTATAGACTCTTGAGGTACAGAAGCCCACCCCAGTTTGGATTAAAACCACCTCCTCATATGGGGGGTTTAGCTACATGACTTCACGTGCTGACCCCGACTCCCTTCGTCTCCCTTCGGTCCAGGAGATTGATTTCTTGGACATCCCAGCTGTGCTGGAGAAGGTCATGGACAAGGCCTCGCGTGAAATCCGTGCTTCCGGTGTAATCATCGGTTCGACCCCCTTGGTGTTGGCATGGAACCTGACGTCGGCAGGTCAACCGGTTGGTATCCTAGTTTTGACCACAGCCATGGATAGCATGGGATAGCATGGGTGTCCAAAAGCCACCTGTTGGAAGGTCCTGGAAGAGAGGGTCCTGCTTGATTGTTTGGGGGTTTGATAGAAGTTGCCATGGGGCCTCCTTGTGAAGTCCATGTTGTCCTTTTTTGCCAGACATGGGTGGTACCAGAGTACATCCACGTCTACCATCACTTACCCTGATCTCCTTGAGTTTCTCAGTCCTCCATCATCCCTGCATGGTCATGTGGTCATGACCTGTCCCACAGAAGCTGTCTACCTCCAGGCGGAAGCCGAGAAGAAGGCGGTCTTTCGTGCACCACAAGTGGTGTTCACCTTGCGGAGGGGGCCAGCAAAGGTTGAATAGGTTGAAGAGCCCGTGTTTATCCAAGGAACCCGGGTTGATGGCTTCTAGGGAGGCCCATCATGGGCGAACGGATGCCATTGACAAGGAACCACGGGCGTGATGATGGGCCCAGCACCGAAGAAGGGAACGTTCTCCCGACGGCATGCGATGCCCGGGAGAGGTTTGGGGTCGAAGGGGTCAGGGTGTGGTCATCAAGGGTGGAAGATGTACAGATTTACTCCCCTGCGTTATGAAATGGAACCTCAAAACCACTGGATTGTAGAGGAAAATGGTCTTCCATCGGTCCATTTTCAGGTTCCATGTTAGTTTGTGGGGGGTAGCATCGAGTCGGATCTTCGTGCGCCCTGGGATATGTGTGAGCGGTGTTTGATCAGGTCCCACTAGAGGTCACGGTCCATTCCACTGCTGTGGAGAAGTGTAGCCGGTAGCCGTGCACAGGTTCTTTCGGTGTGTCAAGATCGGGATGTGTTGGAAACGGGAGACCCCGAAAGCCCTGGGAAGATGACACGTAGATAGACTGAAATCTATCATAGATTTGGGGATTGGCCGATTTTAAACAAATATGCACGCCCTAACTTTAGGGCGCAACCCAACGACCACTGGTGGTGGGATAAGTTTGTTTGCTCCTCAATTTGGTGGTTCCCTCCCCTTGACCACGACGTTCACTTCCGTGGTCGACCACATGAGAGTGGTCTGCGACTCGGCCGGTGCAGCTGATTCTCAAAGTGCCACCTGGCACTCAAGTAGCTCGAACGATGAAGCGCCCGATGCAACGGAGCGAAAGTCAGCAGAGCCTTCACACTTTGAGACGGGATTCTTCAGGCAGCTGAGACAGGTGGGGGAAAAAACACAAGGCAGGCTGATTCTGGTTGAAACTGCAGGAGCTCAGCTCCACTTCCTTGAACTCCACTTCCTCCCACTTGCCAAAGCTCACCCAGCTACCGAAGCCCGAAGCCCCACCGAACCCGCCACGAACCACGCCGGTGGCCCCCGCGAGCGATGCACGAGATCCGATGGACCTGGTCCGATGCGAACCTGCTCAAGCGAGGCGAGGCGACATGGGAACGGTGAGGACGGTGAGGACGCTGCTGGCCCGTTACGGTGCTGGGGTGCTGGCCGCGGGTCGCGATGGGCGGAGCGCTGGACTCGGGGTCCGACGCATCGGAGATTGGTGTTGGCTGGAGGGAGTGATGGATGAGGCCGCACATAGCCGCACCATTTGTTCGAAGCGATACGAGGACTGCCCCGACGCGACCCTGGACCCTCATATATGTGGTCTGACGTCTCAATTCTAGGTGAGGGACCGTGTGCGCTGTTTCCTACGGAGCCTTCTGAGAGTGGTGCGTCCTTTGTCTCATGGTCTTTCTGATCACCCCACAGTGCTCAAAGCATCTCAGAGCTCCGGCGCCGGCCTGGTCGTTCGAGGCCTGGCCTCCGCTGGCCTGGCCTGGCACTGCTCGCGCTCCGCGGAGGAAGTGCTTCGGAAGTTGGAGCTCCTCGCGCCCGAAGCGAGTTCGGTTGGAATCGAACCGAGCCGGTGGGGTTCGGAAGCAGAGGGACGTGAAGTGAGATGCCTGAGATGCCCCCAGAAGCCCGAGGGTGCTAGATTATATAGAGTTCGGATCAGGCCGATTTGGTGGTGAGTTTCTGGGGTCTGAGTCTGATCCTGACGGAAACACGCTGGTCTCCTTTTTTTCAAGTGAGGTTGGGAGGGAAAATTGTTGAAATTCACCTCATCCCCATGGACCCCGTAGCGTTGACTCTCAAGGTAGAGCAAAAGGTAGCGCTTACCGGACTAGCAGGGTTAGCTAGGTAGTTAGTACTATTAGAGCTGATCCTGTAAAATACAGGTTATCAGCCGTAGGCTAGCTAGATTAGAGCTATGGACCCGATGGATGACGACGTCCCACCAAACTCCTACGGAAGTGGCTTTGACATAGTTCCGAGTGTGCCCAATAGTTTGGATGCAGTTCAACGGCATGAACAAGCGGTTGCGCAAGTGGCTGCAATGGATCCAAGGGTTGCTTCGGAGGTGTACCAAGAGATGCTAAATAGTGGTGGTAGTGTTACTCTTCAAGAGGCGACACAAGCTACCCTAGCAGGTATGCCGTCAGCCACCGTAGCTGGTGCGCCAACAGTAAACAACTTGTTGGCAATGACTCGGCTCAACGTCGTCAACCTGAATGCAACGCCAAACGACGAAGAACTACGACGGGAGTTACAACAACATGAGTTTTTGCTCAGCGAACAAGCCAGGAGGGAAGCTGAAATCGAGGCATTGCGCTTCAGGAGTATTTACGAAAGAGAAGCTTCCGAATCTATAGCGGCAACAAAGGCTGCCGCAGAGCAGGCAATGTTGAATGTTCAACAAAGGGCCCAACAGCAGGAACAAAGTGTTCAGCAAATGGTCCAACAGCAAGACAATGTTGCAATCAAACGGTTGCAAGGTACATTGGAGGAGCAAAGGGAACATTTTCAGCAGCGGCTAGCTCAGGCGACAGCAGCTCATGAGAAAGTTGTACAGGAAAAGAATGCCATGGCGGAAGAAGGCAATGCTTTTGTTGACAAAATGAGAACTGAACATCACCAGTATGTTGAGCAACAGGAGGCTAAGCTGAAGGCAGCTCTAGAGGCAAAGGATCAGGCAAGACATTCGTCTGCTGAAGAATCCCGGATCGCCATAGAGCTTGACTTCAAGCGAGAACAACTGGACAGTTCGTTAGCAATTGCACAGGCAAAGATCAAAACTCTTGTCAATGAGATGGAGACAACAAATAAGCAATATAAGGTTGATCGGGAAACGCAAGAGCAAACTATAGTTGAGCTTCGCAAGGACAATGCAATGTTGAAGGGTGAAATGGACGAGCTCAGACGTGTTGTACAGTCCTTGACAGACAGGGAAGAGGAACGCAAGGAAGCGGAGCGCAAGGCGCAATCCTCTAGCCCCGTTAAGCCAGGGCCGCAATATCCTGAGCCACTTACACCTTCTGCTCGACAAGACGCTCACCCAATTGGTCAACCGCGATCTTTTGAACCTCTACGCACGGAAGGCACTGTTCCAGCAACCTTAGACGGTAAGCCCCGTGAGGAAGGCGGATCCCCTATAAAGACGGCTATGGATGCAACAGCGTCCACGCGCAACACTGGATTCCCATCAATGTTCTCAGGGACAGGGGCGCTCGCAGCGGAACAGGCAACGGCCTCTACGGACAGGCAACAATTCAAACAACCGGATCCGTGGACGGAGTACATGAAGAAGTCAGCACAATATAACTTCAGTGATGATCCTTTGTACAAAAGCTCCTTTAATCAGGAAGCAACAAAGACTAAGGATGATCGCAAGGACGAAGGGCCGGCTTCTCAGGTAAGAACTCCACAAGACCAAGATTTGGGGGAAATCATCAAGAAGGCCTTGCTAGAAGGGTTTAAGGGCGCTAAGAGCAAAGACTCTGACAAACCCAAGGCAAAGGAGGCTGATAAGATAGATCTTCCCGAATTCCCAAGTCCTGATAGGTACCGCACTTGGAGGGCCGCTGTTCGCGAAGCGATACGGTCCGCGTCCGATGACCCAGACGCTGCGTTCGCATGGGTGCTTGAGGTGTACGCTGTTCGTGAAGACAAAGCCAAGCTTTGTTCCGAATTGGCTGACCCAGGCAAGTTTCGGACCTTAGACACGAAACTACTTGCTGCTTTAACTAAGGTTGCCAAAGGTGAACTGTCTCAGCAGATCCTTAATTATAAGGAATCTGAGGCACAGC